TTTATTATTCAATAGATTTGAATGTGCACATTGTCGACGTTCCTAATAGAACCCAACCGTTGGTGGGTTTGGATTTGTTCGTTTCAAATCTGGGATTTGAGGTTGGAATCTTTTCATTCTGTTCGAACCTGCATCTGATTTGGAATCCCGTAAGAATGAACAACTTGATTTCGAATTTTTGGAACTGCACTCAAATTCTTGGATTTGGAATCCCCATGTCTCACAATTAAATTTGGGTTTGTTCATCATTAATCTGGGATTAATTTACAAAACAAAAAAGAGGGAAAATCTGGGATTGAAGTATTTTTCGTTTGCGAACTGTACGAACTACTCAACAACTCAATCTGGGATTTGACGTCACCCGTCTTCGATCTCAGATCTACCGTCCGTGAAAAAGACGCCGCTGCCGGCGTTGTCGTTGGATCTCGGAAATCGCGCTGCTGCTAGGCGGCCCCGTCGCGCGGCAATCCGTCGGATGTAGCGGCAGTCGGCCCTTGTGGCGTGACACTCTTCCTCGATGGATGTTCGTGCTTGGAGCCGAGTAGAGGTGGTTCTCCATCCCTGTGGGTTTCTCAGAAACCGAGCTTGGAGCTCGAAGGTCCGCCATTAATGGCGGACGCATATACTCAAAAATAAAATAAAGTAAATTATGGCGGTTTAGTGAGAAATCCAGCGAGTGGACGCCAACCTGGGGCTGACGGTTCTTGCCGGAGGTCGTACGACGCGGAAGGTATCGAAGGGCGGTGACGGGAGGGCCTGAAAGTAGGGTTTTGGGCCAGGGACTTGAATCCGAAAATTTGACAATTGTTAGGGGCTAATTCACAATTTCAGAGACTTTAGTTTATTATAAATTGACCCCTGTGGTAAATCTATAATTTTAGAAATTTTCGTTTATTGCAGTTTGGCCCTTGGGGGCAAATCTGCGATTTTGAACAGTTTTTTAAAACTACTTTTTGATCCTTGGGGCCAATTCGTAATTCTGAAAAGATGCTAAAACATGTTTGGCTATGCTCTAATTTCAGAATTTTGGAAAAAGTTGAAATAATTAAGTATTTTTGCTTGTTTCAAATTTCTGAAAAATCCCTAAAATTGAAATTAACCCTTGGGGTATATTTCAAACTAAAAACGATTGTCAAATGAATATTAAATATTTTTGAAATATTTAATGAACGAAATAAAACTTCGAGCTTGTTTCAAAAATTTTAGAAATTTTGATAAACATTTTAGCACATTATTTTGATCCATGAATTTGCTTGGCATATGTATTTTGAATACATATTTATGTGTTTGGAATATTATAAATGCATGATAATTGGATTATTTGCTCCTATTTGTCTAACTGAAATAAATTAAATAGGTTATTTATTTTAGTTAGCATCCGCGATTATATTGTCTAGGTAGGCGGCGCCCAGTATTTGTCGGACCGCGTTATATATTGTCTGGGCAGGCGACACCCAGTATTTGTGGACCGCATTATTATGCTTGGGTAGGCGGTGCCCAGTATTTGCCGGACCGCGTTATATTATGCTCGGGTAGGTGGCGCCCGATATGTGATATTAGTTGGATCTTGTTTGAATATTTGATATTTAATACTGTAATAGCCCAATTTCTTGTTAATAAAATGATGTATTTTATTTTATTAACTTCGTTCAGTTTCAGTATTTAAGTTAATAAGTTCGACTTTAAGTCGAAAATCTATACGGTTAATTATTAACCGAGTCAAATTTGATAATTAATTTTCGAGCCGTTTATTTTATGAACGGATATTATTAATCGAGATTAATTATTAAAAGTCAAGAATGTTCGAATTTAATTTCGAAATCAAGTTTATGTTTAAGACTTGGAAGTGCACGTCATAGTCCACACGCACGCACGTCGTGTGTTACCGTGCGTGTATGCCTGCGCAACCGTGCGTAGTGCACATTTGATGAAGGATCGGATGTTCGTGTCCTCGACTTGTCTCGATCACGGCTTCGCCACGGTCTTGC